AAAAAAAAAAAAAAGATAGAGAGAGAAATGAAAAATACCCCAATAAAATGAATATTTATCAGGCGGACTGGAGAGTGAAAGGGAGAGCTGACACGCCGGGAGATTTACAGGGGGAATATGGCAGAGCAATCCTGTAGCCGGGCTGCGGTACACAGTGTAGCTGTCAGCTTGAGTGACTGAATTAAAAGAGGGAGAGAAAAATCGGCTCGTGTTGGAGAGGAATTGGATTTGGAATGAGAAATCACTTCCCCTCCGCCTGTGGCTGCCCAGCGCTGGCGCTGCTGAGGACCTGCGGACCCCATTCCTGGCGTTCCCAGTGTTCCCAGTGTTCCCAGTGTTCCCAGTGTTCCCAGTGTTCCCAGTGTTCCCAGTGACCCCGCTCAGGGCTGAGCCTCCATTTGTGGTTCCTCCCTGAAGGATTTGGTGCTGAGCACCCCATTTTCCAGCGTTCCCAGTGTTCAGGGCTGAGCCTCGGCTCACGGCTCTTTGAAATACTCGGTCCTGGGCGAGGTTTGTCCCCGAGCCACGCTGTGACCCCAAACARGGTCCCTGTCCCCCCACAGCCCCCCTGCATCATCTCCAGATAGAGCGAGCACAAAACGAGGAGGTTCACCGCATCTTACTGGGATAGACTGGGACACGCTGGGGCCGAGCATCTGAGGGTCCAGAGCTGGTCTGGGGGGCAGCCAGTGACCCCAACCCCACCACAGACCTCCCCCTTTCACCCCCCGCGCCGTGTCCGCGGTGGCTCCCACCGCACCTTGGCTCCATCTCCTCATCTCCGCTCCCGCTCCGCTCGCTCTTGCCAATCCCCCTGTGCCCGGAGCGACGCGGCCTCAATCGGAGCCGAGCCGAGGCGGCTTTGACCTCCCCCAAATTGCCGCGGCCCCCGCGMTGGAGAGGACGCGGGGAGCGTAATGAGCCCGGCGCCAGCCCGTGCCCCTGGGAGAGAGCCGCGTTCTGCCCATTAACGGCAGCGGGAGGTGCCGGCGGATCCGCGCCGAGCCTCATCGCCGACACCCGGCTCTGTTTGCGGCTCCGCTCGGCAGCCGCAGCTCCGCCAAARTGCCCCCCGAGATGCGCGCCCAGCGCTCCGTGACTCAGTTTCCCCACTGGTGATGGAGGGGGGGACCACGAGTGGAAAACGCGATGGAAAGGGGCAGTCCGAGCCCTCTGATCGCTGCCGAGCACCTCCGTGACCTTCGCGGGGAAGGGGAGAAACACAAATGTGCCCCCCTGCCCAACCTTTGCSCCCCACCKGACCGTCCCATCCTCTCCCAGTGCYCCCAGTATGCCCAGCTCCTGCTCGGCAGTGCCATGGCCAAGCCGAGCTGGAACGATGGAGCCTCCAGCAGATGCCAGCGCCCGTCCGGGAGGTCAGGGCCATCAGCTGATGATGGTCCTTGGCACCGAGTGCCAGCAGGAGCTGGCAGCAGCCGCTGCCCAAGCGCCGGCGAATCAAGAACCCTCTGCAGCGCCGGGAATTGCTGTGGCTGCCGGAGAAGATTTGGGGGCAGCGGGGCCGTCTCACCATCTGCTGCCGGCACCGTCTGGGTAATTAATGGCTGGGAGGAATTAGGGGCAGGAGGAGGCTGCCAAGCCGCAGGTGCCAGCGGTGGAGCCCGATTTCCCCCCGGGCACGAAGCGGGTGGGCGGCGGGGAGCGGTGCCAGGCTCTGCCCCGGTGCCCGCTCGGTGCCCATCGAGTCTCGCCAGCGCGTCCTGGGTCTGCCAGCTCTGCACGCCTCACGGGCACGGTGCTGCTCGGCGTGGCTGGCACATCCATCACTGCCAGGCAGCCGGGCAACGCTGCGGCGGAGAATCCATCGCCGGGTGAAAGCGCGGCTACACCTGCCCGGCAGCGCCGTGGGATGGATGGATGACGCCGCACGGAGCGGGTGACACGACAAAAATTGCCCCAACGAGCTCTGCCAGCAGCAGCCCGGCTGTGTGCGAGGACCCAAAACCCCCTCCCGCCTTTACATCTCCAGTTTGGGGTTCTCTTTGTGTCCCCTCAAGCCGCTCACAGCTCTTTCAGCTGGGGAAACCGTGGCTGGAACAGAAATATCCCGAATTCTTCCATGCTGCTGCGAGGATCACGCAGGAGCCTCGACTTGTGCTGCCCAMCCGAGGATGGGGGAAGCACCCCGGGTGTCCCACCTGCCTGTGCCCACGGTGCTGGCAGCGCCCAGCCCCGCGGTTGAAGCATCTTTTACCCMAAACCCTCATCTTGGCATTTTGAGGGGGAACAGAGACACATCTGGGGTCACTGGGGTGAGTGGAGAGGGGGTTTAATTTCCATCCCCTATGACAAAGATGTCCCCAGACAGGTCGTAGTGGGTGGGTGAGGACACAGAGCCGGTCCCCTCGCCCACCAGCTGCCTTTTGGGGTGTGGGTAAGAGTTGAGGTGCCCGGTTTGGTGAAAGAACCTCGGCCTCTCATCAGCGCTGGATGGTGGGAACGGGATGGGAAGCGCAGGGTGGTCTCACTTCCCTTGGTGAAAGAATTTTGGGGACCCCCAGGACCCCTGGCTTACCCCGAGGGTGCTGTGACAACGAGAGGACAGTGGGAAGGGGAAGATGGAATGACACAAAACTGGGGGGCTGAGGAGGATTTTGGGGAGYGGGAGGAAGAGGAGGCTGACGAAGGACACGGAGAACAGAAGGAATTGGAAGAGGGATGATGGGATGGAAGGAAAAGGACCCAGAGGCTTCAGGAATGTGGCGAGAGATGGGCAAGGACAAGGGATGGGGGCTCCGGGAAAGGGATGGGGGGTCCCTGGAAGAAGCGGGGGGCCGGGGTCACTCACTCCGGGGTGCCGTTTGACATGCCGGGAGAACATTCCTCCACGYAGGAGACCCTTCATGGCCGGGCTGGGATCGGTCCGGCGGTGGCGGCGGGTTCCGAGGTCCGGCCGAGGACGGAGGGTGGGCAGGAGGAGAGGGAGGCGTGTGCGGCCGGGTTGGGAGGGACGGGGCGGGTCGGGACATCCCGGCCTGGGGACACTGCYGGGGAGGAGGGACAAGGAGAAGATCCTGAGCGTCCTCCGCTCCTTTCAGCCTCCCCCAGAGGTGACAGCAATGTCTGGGGGGGATTGATGAGCGCAGGGTGTGAACCCCGATATCCCCACGCTGCCTCAGTTTCCCTCCCCACTCGGGAACAACCCCGTCCCTCCACTTGCAGCCCCATCACAAGGTGGCTCCGCGTTTCGTCTCCGGGCCGAAAGATCGAAGGATGAGCCGTGTGATTGCCCATGACAACTTGGCCGGGGTTGGCCGCCCCCCTCCGCGCCCCCTTTCCCCCCCTCCCCAGCCCAAACCCGCCGCCCTCCCGTTTATGATAAATGATATAACACCCAATTTACATTTAGCGATGCAAATCTCGCTGGCAGGAACAGATGCTGCCGCGCATATGGAAACCGGCTATTAGTACCCAACAAAGGGCCGGGAGAGGGATGGAACGGGCGGCGGGATGGACCCGGCAGGGGTGGGCACCGGTGCCAGGAGGGGTTTGAGGGGTTGGTCCTGCTCTGGGAGCAGCGAGTGCCAGCACAGCCGTGCCCCTGACCCGTAAAATCCCACTTTGGAGGGGATTTTGGGTGTCCTCTGAGTTCCCCCGGGGTGCTCCCCTCTCCCCACCCCGGTGCCACCCACTCTTTCAGCTTCCAGCCGAGTCTAAAGGACAAAAGAGAGGAATTTCTCAAGAATACACGGATGCGAGAGGAGGCTGAGGCGCATCCAAGGCCCCGGGTGATGTAATTAGCGATTTGAGATGCGATTGATTAAGTGCCACTCCCCGAGACAGAGCATCCTGCCCTGGGCACGGCCCGCGTGTCCTTTGTCACCTTCCTGTGCCCAGGGCGGCCAGGAGGGATGGGGAGGGGTTCAGAGAAGGGGGGGATGAGGGGATTAATGGGATTTGGGGTATAGGGACAGGAGTGAGTGGGGCTTTGACACAGTGAGGGACCCCACGGTGGTCCTGCACCCCATTCCCTGTARGATTTCCCCACGGGATTCCCTGCCCAGCTGCCTCCACGCTCATTAATGACTGTAATTAAGACGCGGTTTTATTCCGTGTGGTGCTTTCCTGTTCCGTGGGGGCGCCAGGAGCCCTCGGGAGCAGGGAGGGGATTCAAGGTGGGGTCAGCACAGGGATGGAGCTTCTCCTCCAGCCTGGCACACCTGGAATTTGAGGAAAAAACATTTTGGGGGAAAAACATTTTGGGGGAAAAACAGAAAAAAAAAACCTTCCCAGAAAGAAAGGAATCACAGCGGGAAAACCCATGAACATGTGGGAACACGCGAGGGGTGCACAGATGTGCACATCTGGGGAGCTCCACACCCACCCACATCTGGGAGCTCAGGTCTACCTGYTCAATGTGTGGGAACACATCCAGGGGATCGAGGGCTCCGGGAAGGAATCGCCACCCCAAAATTTAGGGTTCCAGGGGGGCATTCAGGGGTCCAGAGGGAACCCAGAGATCTGTGGGGGGACCCTCACCCCAAAATTCAGGGCTTTGGGGGAAATTCAGGGGTTTGAGGGAACCCAGGGGTCTGTGGGGTGACCACTACCCCAAAATTCAGCAACTCAGAGAGGACCCAGCTGTTTGGGATGGGGCACACAAAGGTTTGGGGGGACCCTCACCCCAAAATTCAGAAAGCTGGGGGAGGGACTCAGAGATCTGGGTGGGACAAGGGGGAAAATGAGCCCCAAAATCAGGGATCCAGGGGTCTGGGGACACCCGGGGGTTTGGAGAAACCACCTGGGGGGGCACCCCGAGGATCCGGAGGGTCTGGGGGGGACCCTGACCCCAAAATTCAGTAATTCAGGGGAGGACTCAGAAATCTGGGTGGGACAAGGGGGACAATGACCCCCAAAATCGGGGATCCGGGGGTCTGGGGGCACCCGGGGGTTTGGGGAAACCAGCTGGGGGGTACCCCGAGGATCTGGAGGGTCTGGGGGGGACCCT